GGGGAGACGCGAGCGATACGCGGTGTCATGTGACGTCTATACATTCTGCACCCCGGCTGTCGAGTTTTGATGTATACTTTGAGATAGGAATGATAACGATATTTGATTGTTAATTTCATGATATATATAGAGTTGCAGAGCTTGTTGGACATTGGCAGATGGGTAATGCAAAAGCAAGGGTGGGAATTTCTGAACTATATATTGAGCCCATACATATCCACTTTCTAGGACACTCACTGCACTATCTGCAACGACACATCTGAGTGCCAGAAGTTGGTATGGAGGAGCATCCTGTATTGAATTAACACTATATTGCAATTTAATAAAGAATCAAGCCAAAGTACATTTGATTGTGTCGTATCCACGATAGATCTTGATCCGTCATTGAAAACCTTTCAGCTCACACCACAAAATTCTTCAACCGGAGTCACTCTACACCAACAATGCAATGAGACGGCCAAAATATTGCAATAAGATCTTTCATTCCCTGTGTATATGAAACCATCAGCTCGCAGGTAGGCCACTCTAGACCTACAACATTCGGCCCCCTAATGGACAACTACCGACGATCACACCAGCCCTATAGAAGGCCAAGTCCGAGCAGACCGCACCAGCAAGGCTTCAGATCTTCATAGCAGGGATACTTGGCTAATATAATTCCATCCCAGAGTGAAAGCAGCCAACGCAGTCTCATATTTAGCCAGCTAATGCAGCACTCAGAGCTGCGCTGACCGTACCTACCATGAAGGCGCATCTCAGCTAGAAGATTGGCAAGTCCTTGCCACGATGCTTATCACTATCTGAAAATAAATCAGAGCAAAAAGTACAGGCAATATGGTATTTTAACGACGAAAGAAAGGTTGAGTACTTCGCTGCATTGGTTCTCCCATCAGGAGCAGGAACGGGGAATCACAGGATACTGCTATCCCAGTAATCAACACTTAACCAGAGAAAAAGGAACAGAACAGAGCCCAGCTATAGAGACCCAGTGAGAGAGCGAGAGAGGTTTCACTAAGGCACGGAAGTCGTGGAAATTGTATACAAGAGGGGATAGAGACAATACCACGCCATATGTGCTTCAACCTCCATATACATACATCATCCAGGTAGTATATGTATGTTCGGATCGAACTATAACTCATCTTGCATGTATGCCTCAGCGTCAGTCTTCCTACCTGAATAACTCCGAAGATATCATCTATCAATAATTTACAAACAGCCAGAACTCCTTGATGGAGTAGACGAAAGCCAGATATCAATAAAAGCCACCGCAAATAACAATACCAACCACAATAACTGTCCATACCCCCATACAAAATGTAGTGTAGTATACGCCATGCAAATATCACCAGACACTTACCCAGCCAATACAACAATTGACTGACCTAAAAGCATTCGGCCGAAACCTGCCTGCACTTCATCTACTTCGTCCACCAGTTGTATAGTAAAATGAGGAGTAAATCAACCGAACCAGATCCAAAGACATCGTATGATCCCTCAGAGGTTTAAAGGAATAACATAATAGAATCAATCTTAATACCCTCAACACCCCTGCAAGTAGCACAAACCAGCCAAGCCACATCCCTAGATACAAACCGATCAGTGTTGTTGTTCGGAGGCTACTACACACAGCCAAACCAGCCAGCCCATAGTAATCCCCGCACCGCACCGTAGCTAATCTAAGCTTGGCGGTCACTGCCCGCAGCAGCCCCGGCAGGTAACGTCACTACTACTGATTTACACTCACATCCTCCAACATCACAACCACAACAACCACCAAACAAGCCCAACATCAGACCACACCTACTACTTACTATCCCCGCATCCATCACCACCAACAAACCACCACCTCCCCGCTCGATTCCCAACCCAACCACCCACCCACCCGCGCACATTCAAGCATGGCGCCCATCCGCCGCTACCTCCGAATCAGCAAATACACGGTCCTCGAAAGTCGAATCTACCTCGAGAACCCCTCGGATATCCGATGGCTCCTGAATGCGCGTGACGCCGTACTCCCACGCGTATTCGCAGCGATCCGGCCACTCGTGCTGCCCAAGTTACGTGAGGAGAATGAGCGGTTATTTACGAAGAAGAAGGGGAAGCCGGTGAAGGATGTTATTTCTGAGGGTGAGTAGTCTCTTATTAAAATATACAGGAGATGCATATATATATATATTTCTTTGATGGACTATGTATGGTGCTTGGAAGGGATGGCTGGCTAATAATGCATGCAATTCGTGTAGAGGAATTCGAGGTTGCGTTGTTTTTGCGCGAGTCGAGGACGCGACATTCGCTTCTTACGAGGCATAAGGAGTTTGGTGAGGAGGAGGAAGGGGGATACGCTGTGGGGAGGGGGGTAGGAGGAGGTTCTGGTTCTGGTTCTGGTTCTGGGGCGGCTGGGGGTGGGATCTTGATTGAGAGTGATGAGGAGGAAGAGGGGTTGGAATTGAGGGATATTCCACAGGCGAGTGGTGATGATGATGATAATGCGGCTGGGGGGAAGCGCCAGCGGGATGATGCTGATTGGCAGTCTGATGATTCGCCGGAGCGGCGGCGTACATTAAAGAGGAGGAAGGATGATGGTACGCTATCGCGAGATGCTGATGATGGTGATGACAAGAAGATGCGCTTCAGGACCAATTACGAGGGATTTAATATCTACGGCTGGGTGCTGTGTCTGCTTGTCATGCGGAAAGGTGACAAAACAGGGACAAGAGCTGCACCGGCAGAACCTGGTCGTCAGGTCTTGATGGAAGAATGGATATCAAGCCAGGCTCAGGGCGATCTGCCCGAAGAATAATTTCGAAGCTGCCTGCACTACGTTACAGCATTGCAAGTCTTGCACACGTCGCGTGGGACGGGGATGGCGCCTCGTCGTAAGATGCGACCTGATCGTTTGATTTCTGCATAACGCATGGTATGGTCCAACGGTCGCATATCATGAATTGCAGAATGCTCGTGCGCGTGATGCAGATTGAATGCTATCCAGCTGAAAAGGATCGAACGATTGTCCTGCGACGTGTTCGCAAATTGCTGTACCACCTGGTGCGATGGCGGCCCGTCTGGACAACATTAGCTGGAGTCGAGACCAGTCCGGCCGAGAATCATCTTTAGGTTCGAGTTTCCAGTGAGGCGACGAAACAGTGGTGTGCGACAGCCTGACTCGGATGCTGGCCGTTATCTGGATTAGGTTCTGTGTAACACCCGGTCCCAAGGAACCTGACCGTCTCGCCCCTTTTGCGCCGAAGACCACGTCTACAGTTCCAGGCTACGTCGCAATCGGCCTAGACTGTCATAACTCAGCCGGTCCCTGGGAGCCTCTTGCGGGGCGCTCGCCGTTGGAATAGAACACCATGCCGCATGGATGTGCACTGCAGCACATACATATGTGAGGGTCATTTAGACTTTCGGCTTGCTGCATAAGCCATGATCCTGGCGCATAACATACTGATGTACAGGGGTTGTTTCACGTTGACATGCCGATTGACAGCTTGCGACTCCGTGATATATCTGAAAACAGGAGACAGAATGGCGTTTGAGATTGAGCAGACGCGTCCCGAATGGCTTCTGCTTCAGTATCTTGCCAAGAGTCAAAGTACCGAGATATTGCCGTGTCGTCTAATTTTACCCCAACACCAGAGTAAACGAGGACCGGGATTTGGTTCACCGTTTTCTTTCAGAAGCGCCCTGTCCGCCCTTTTGCGGAGATGCCTTCCGAAGCAATTGAATAATGGCCCAGTAATCGGCGTGCAGACATTAATAATCTTGCAAGGCTAAGCAAAACCCTGCACTGGATCCAATGGAGAGTAGCCGAATCTTGACGTCAGTCGAGGAAGAAAAGGGCAGGTCCAAACAAAAATTTCTCCGACTAAGGTAGTGGGCGGAGTTCTCCGTACTGTGGAGTAGGATTGACCGACATTGATAAAATTGGGATCCATGTTCCACGGTAAGGACGACTTTTCCATGAAGAAGACGTAGACGAGACCCTCTAAATAGATACAGCCCTTTTAGGCTTTTAGTTGCTTGAGATGTGCCTAAAGAGGCAAGACACCGCGAGGAAGAATGCCGAAAGAATTGTAACTGAGGTTGAACCTATGTTGTCTATGTTATTGCCTTGCTTGAGGATTCGAGAAAACCGTAGCCAGCCGCCCGTGAGATCCGATCCCGCTGCGGGGTTCAATAGGGAGTAGTCGAACCATAAGGGTGCTATTGAAAATCGTGATCAACATGGGTCCTAAGACACGGTATTCACTATTCAGAGCACCAAGTACTCCGTAGACTCCTACGCCACTACTCAGGACGGCAGTAATTTCAAGTGCTTATCCTGAATGAGAAAAGGTAATATCATTCAGCCAACCGATAACCAACGGGGTCTGTGTGGTGAAAAAGAGGCTGGGATAGAATTCGATGAGCAGTGGTTTCCCGCAACAGAGTTAGTGGGAGCAAGTGGACCAGCCGTTGTAGTGAAACCGGCGGCGCCAAAGGCGGTGCTGAGACCGGCTGCTCACTAGAACAAAGTAGCAAGTTCGTATCATAATTAGTGGCCGTTTAGTCCCGAATTAGCGACAAAGCGGGAGCGATTGTTGAGAGTTTTGAACCGCAACCTGTGTGGGACGGACAGTGGACGAGCACTGTGCGACAAGAGGAGCGGTGAACCATGGATTGCGACGGTTTCTGGAAGAGTCAGTACCATTCCACAGAGCGGAGAAATTCCCTGATGTTGATCTTCACTAGATATGTACGCCGCACGGAGTCCTGCCTGGGAAATTCCGATCTTGTCTACATCGGCGTGGGCAACCCCTCCTGCAGTCGGACTATTGAATATTGCAGACTGGGAGGCGTCACGGTGATTGTGATAGTCGAGGATGCAGTCAGATGCATAGTACCTGCATTAACGCAATTGCTGCGTTACATCCAATCCACTAACCCGCAGGGGAACCAAAACTTGAGGCGGGAAACTGTCCGGGATATACGACAACATTAGTTGGGGAGAACAAGAGAGGGAGAGAGAGAAAGGCGCGTAAGTATGACAAAGGCTCAATGAGTGTGGTGTATCATGTGTACCCATTCTCCACTTTGTGCACTATTATAGCAATCTGTCCAGGACTGCAGTGGGAGTTTGCCGAGGAGTTTGACGAAATTGGCGTGAATCACCCTGCCTCCGCACTGAGACCGGCCATTGATTGCTGCGATCCAGTTTTCACCACACCAACGGCGCGGAATGAACACCCCCAACAGTGGGGATCTCATTTCGTTCTCTTGGAACTGGGATCCACTCTGTCAACATCCTTTCTCCTTCTTGCCATGTGTTTTTCGTTTGGCCCTCTCTGTCCCCGTCGTCCCAAATGAATAAGAGCCATGTGACCTGACGGGAAATCAGGAAGTGGCAAAGATGGTGATATGACTGATCCGGATCATTCAGGGAACCTATACCTACTATGTAATAAGAAAAGGGAAAATGAACCATTCATCCACCGGAAGCGCGCGGGATCTCTTTTGCGTCAGGCGGCCATCACCATTAACCGGATAAAATTAGTAGATACAGTAGGACGCCGTAGCCCACGATACTACTGCTAGGACTGGCAAAAAAACCTGCCTTGTCCGTTCTCAAGTCTCAGTCAGTGGTCATGCATGCAGCGGCGCTAACAGCTGCACACTACGCCAAAGAAGTCAATCGTTGAGGACGACTTGACGCAGGCCGGGGCTGTTAGTAACTTAGTATCCTGTTAGGCGCCGGCCTATCTCTCTAGCGGCCGTGGGTAACGAAAATTGTCGGCGGAGAGACCGGCGACCGGGTCAAATCATCGACGCGAGAACGCAACCCGCATCTCGATGGATCGACCGATGAGTCTATGCAGCAATCGATTGACGTGCAGGATCATCGTTTCTCCCTTCCTGTTTACAGTGTCCTTCGCATCCCGGGCCACGTCCTATCTGCAGATGATCCGGCGTGACGCCGCGCATCCTCATTAGATACTTACTCATGAAGCGGGTGGTGCTAGTCCGGTTGCACGCCAGGGCTCCATTGGGCCAAGGGGGGTGAGATTGGTGGATGTCTACTGGTTCAATTAATGAACTCATTCCAGAATCAAATCAAATCAAACCGGATTGGACCTGATGAGCGTTGCATTGCATAAGAGAGTACACCCCCAAGTCAGCTGGCGTGGGAGATTAGTTTCAATTAGTTCTCTCAAGCTGCAGGGACGGACGGGAAGATGGCGAGCCAGTCAGTGACCATTAATTGGGTGTATGGTACATGTACGGAGTTATAGGATATGTGTAATAAGTAATAAGTAATTATGAAATTGTGAAGTCTAACAGTTATTGATCAGGGATGATAGGAGGGCAGCCTTACAGCAAGCAACAATAGCAAACCGCAACCTAACAGCCAAGACTAGGCAAGGGACATCAGCCACAATGGATGGAATGGATGGAATGGATGGTTGTCAGCCGAGATGTCCGTCAAATGGAGGAGCCCGGAATTACCAGATTCCAATCGCTTCCCGAGGCTCCCGTTCCTTGGGAAAAGGATAGATGGATGACAGACAGTTCCTTGAACTCAAACCGTTCAGGGCAGCACCCAAAAGTCTGAGAGCTCGGACAATACGAACGCAGGTACTTTTCCTTTTCCTGACTTTCCTGCAAGGAGAAACGGGGTTTTCGTTGGCGGACGTAAACCCCGAAGATGCGATCCAATTGTGGGTGAGAGCGATGATGATCAACCCCTGAAACATCGCTCCGGCGGCGGCCTGAGGACACGCCATCAAAGCTCTTCTCTTCTCAATATGTGTCTTGTGTGGGTGTGTAGTATCTTTAGGTTGCGGCTACCCCGTTGGCTGCGACAAACTTGCCGCCCTGTACAGATGAAACGACCTGTCATTCTTCCGTTATGATCGGATCACCACTGCCCTCCTTCCCTCCTTCCTTCCCCCTGAACAAGGCTGTAAGGGAAGCAAAGGGAAGAATGTTTCTTCTAATCTTCATCATGGATCATGGCTCCTCAGCTGTCTACTGCCTGTCTCACCACTCTCAGCTATCCATGCTCGCAGAAGAGGGCCTAATCACGGCTGAAACGGGAAGGCTGAAGGATGCAGGCGTCACTTGGGCTTGAGAACTACGGGATGTGTGGTGGCTTGGACAGGATGGATACAGGAAGAGGATAGACCCGCAGGTCCCGACAATCTGGCTGGAGCTAGGATCTTCCCTCTTTTGGGGGGTGGGAAGGAAGTAAGTACATACAGGAGGAGGGTGTCTGTGTGGTGGTCGTGAGGAATCAAATCACACGCATCCGAGTTTCAGACGGGCAGCGCAACAGCCGCGCATTTGACTTCGGATCATCCTGGAGGGTTCCTTATCGAACTTGCTAGACCTTGTCCCCTCTGGTGCTCTTCTCACGCTCTTAGCTCTCTTTCCCCCCTCAAAGGATCTACGAACTGGCACGTGTAGGCATGGCTGGACTAGCCCCCAAAGCTCGTAAGCCTATCAAACGCAGCTGCACATACTCAGGGATGAGGTTGCCTGGACACCATCCTGGTCGGGATGCGGAGTAAGCGCATCCTCTAACGGTGGCATTGATCCCTTCGATTGAGTCATAGATAGCAATGTTAACTCACTCACCATTACAAAGTGGTTAACTCATGCCTCCTGCTGCTGCTTCTTCGTCAGTGTCCTCGTCCTCCCCCATGGTAATTTACGTAACCAAGCGAAATGGCACTAGCGTTTAGCTACAGTTGTAGTCACATGGGCGGCGTCTCGCCCAGAGGATTTTCCGTTTTCTTTTCTTTGCTGAAAAAGATGGACTGTCTTGCCCAGAAAGCAAAATCGGGAATGGTGAGAAAAGAAGCCGCCAGAACGGGGTGTGTAGAGACGACTCCGTCGAGAGTCAAGATAGAGAGAGCGAGCGCGAGAGCGAAAGAAAGAGAACGATAAACGCTGGAGTGGGTCAGGAATGCTTGCTTGCCTTGTTCAATTTCGTGTTCACTTGTTCCCTCCCATTTTTCGCTCTGTGTCTTTCGTTTGTTCTTGTTCTTGTTCTTGTTCTTGTTCTTGTTCTTGTTCTTGTTCTTGTTCTTGTTCTTGTTCTTCTTCTTTCCTTCGATCCTGTTTCTCCTTCACTGCGAACTAAGTAGACTAACTTTTTTTCCCTCCCATTTTCTTCCCGTCCATTTGTTCGGCTGTGACATTTTATCGCCCTTACAACCCTTTGTTTCTGATTGAGACGCCCACCTAGCACCACCATCAGTCCACACCCCATCGAATAAGCTCCGATAATGCGCATGTTAATTAGACCTGCGGAACCCAAGAAAAAAAAAAAGGGGGAGGCAAAAAGTCTCAGCGGTGAAGGCCAGTCCCCGGCCGGAGTGGGACAACAGGAGCTTCTAGAAAATTTCCCTGGGATTTCCCATTGGGGCCTCAGCAGCAAAGGCATCCATCGAGAATCCATCTGGCAGCCCACCCGTACCGCACTAGTGTAAGGACGCGGTCAGATTCTGACGTAGTTCGTTTCCTCCTGTCCGGCCGGTGGAGCTCAGCTGTTTCCCGACAGGGGAAAGGGAAGTGGGTAAAAAAATAATTATGATTTTATAATTTATGATTTAATTTTATTTTTTTCTTTTTCCTTCTGATTATTCTGTCCCCATTATTATTTTTCATTATTATTATTCTACTTCTGGTTCAGCGCCAATCACCCCGGTTAGTCTTCTCTTCAAAAAATAAAAATAAAAATAAGGGCACAGAAAATTGAGGGAAGCTCTCAAGTATATATTAGACGCCCATCTGACCTCGTCTTCTTCAATCCTCTTGGTTTCATTCGACTTCAATCCTCTCAAACAACTCGCGTGCTACACTACATTACATCAACCACCACACTACTATTACCACTACTACTTCCTTCACACCACTACTACCATCACCACGCACACCACCCATTACCATCATCCACAACTACATCACCATGCCTTCCATCGGTGGCTCTACCTCTCAGTTCCCTCCTTGCCCTGGTCCCCCGCCAAAGGGTCCTCTTCCTCCGCTCCCCAAGTAAACACAACGGGCAATTCACTTGATATGAACTTGACGACCGACAGACTCAGCCGGTTCAACCACAGCTCTTCCCAACAACTCCGCCAGGAACAGTGACAATGTGGGCCGGTTCGAGTCTCTCATGACATGGGAGTTGCACCTTTCGGCATATGGTTATCACGATTTCGTTTTTGGGACATTACACTATGGCTCTGCTCCTTTCCACTTGTACCTTTTATTCGCATTTCTCAACAACCTTCGATTCGCCATCTTTCGGACTTTTCTGCTACTACCACCGCCACACGGAAGCCTCTCCTGGGCCGGTCTTTAATTCTCCATACTATTCTCCGGGACCACGCGCAGGCGCTCTCTGCTCCCAATCTACAATGACGTTTTGACATTGCGACATCGAATCGTTGCACTGCATCAGCTCACGCGGCTGTCGAGTGATCGGCAGATCCTATCGCACTGCAGGGGGGCCCGATTCGACAAGAGGGACCATGATGCTGTGACTCGCTATTGGTTCCCCACTCTCGGGCCATTTATCTCCAACCAGCCTTGTCAGCAACCGGACCCTGCAACACCAAGTGATGACGACAAGACTCGCGAGCATACGAGTTTCATGTGCAAGTTCGGGTATTGCTCATCGACCAACCCAATTGCAGCATGGATCGCACGATCCCCACCAATGTCAATGCGTTGTTCGGAAACCTTGGATTCCATTCGCACATGGGGTTCAACAATTACTTAATATCTTTTATTTCCTTTCTCCAGTCATGTGTACCATCTTGATTGTTATCATCCACATTCGGGATTTGAGCTTTATCTGAAATCGACGGCATGTATAATAGACTTAATATACCCAGCGGCATTTCGCATTCTTGGCTGCGCTTTGACATTGCTAATGAGACTATCAAATTCTTTGACCATTTACTTCCTATCTTGCAATCTTAAAACAACGCATACTGTAGTACTGTAAGCATCTCATGATAACTTCATTGCAGAATTGCATGGTGCATTGCTTGAGTAACCTGTGTGACCGCGGGGAACTTCCCCTCCCTAAAGAAGATCGACAGGAAGCATACACAGACACACAGGGCAACGTTCAGCAGCGGAGTAACAACAGCGCAGCCCAGCAGGGATTCTGAATCAATAGCGCTGCGATCCCCCCTCCCCCTCTTGTAGTACGGAGAACCTCCATCCACCTTTAGCGCCAGTCCCAGTCCCTCTTTTGGCGCATGTACCGCACTGAATTGAGTAATCAGATAGCGGCATTTGACAAGGTTATGACTCGATCATATACGGTGATCTAAGCGAGGGGGAAAAAAGAAACACAAGTCTTCCGCCTCTCCCGCAATTCCTTATCAGTTGTACTGCAATATTGCTTTTTTTTCTTACTTGATGCAATAGTTTCTGCGAGGTACGCACCCTGGCCTGCGCGGCCCGGGTGGCGCACCTGATACGACGGGCTCTACCGCAGGACTTAGTACTACTAAACAGGAACCGACTTGACTATCTATCTTTGCCAATAAGTGGTTATTGGTTGGATAGTTTGTGTGTCAAAGACCGGTTCTAAGGACCCCTCTTCCTCCTCTTCACCCTCCCACCCAACTTGTGGAATCTAATCTCGTAACCGCCAAGCAAACCACATGCCACCTGCATTGCATATGTAGGAAGCCAAGCGCATGCCATGGATGAATGGATAAATGGATGCGGGTAGCCTGACGATAAACAGAATGCTGATGAATGATAAGCTGATAATTTATTCCCTCTCTCTATAGGTAGATTACTGTGTATGTGTATGTATGAGGTACTTACTATCTACATACCTCATCCAGTTCAAGGACCGGCCCACCTGCATGTGTGTGTCTGCCTAGTAGGACCGAGAAACCCGTGCCTTGATTGCCCGCTTTTCGATATAACGGGTATACGTGGCGGGGTGGAGGGTAGAGGTACGACCTAAGCTCCATAATCCTGCCCTGTTTCTGTTATTGTCTTCCACGTTCTCTGAACCTTAGATGGGTTTAGCACGAATGTCCGATCGCAGGTCAACTGACCCCGGATGTACCTGGAGCCCGTTATTACTATTTAGTTATTTTTATTTATTTTGCTCACCATTAAACCGTAATGTAAGCACTCAGGGACTGAGCGTTAGTTCATTAGGCCGATGTCAAATCCCGGAATTGAGCATGTCATGCCATGTGCTGGATTGGGTGGCAGAGATGGATATGGTAAAATTAAATCTTACTTTCTTGTTGTAGTCATAGCGCTAAGTGGGTGTCATTCAACTTCTGCAGACATCTCTTGATTAATTCTGCGGGAGCCGGTATATACTACTACACCACTAACTACTAACTTAGTTGTTGACTACCTCTACTAGTAACGGTGTAAGTAGGTGTGGCTTGAGTGTCGCATATACACCGGTCAGTCAGTTTACTTGGCTGAATAGCTACCAACTAGCTAGCTAGTTAGTTATCTGACTACTTCCCTAGCTTCAAACTCCCAGGCCCTTCTCCTATCATCAATTACGATCGGAACGCGGATGCGAAGAAAATCACTCATACTTAGACCGATTAGTAGACTGATTCCCTCGCCTAAAAGGAGGGGTTAATGACACAAAGTGAAACCAAATCCCCATGGATTTAATTTACTCAATGCCATCTCAACATACCCGATGACCCTACTTTGCTGCTTGTACTGTATCTGTTGCACTGGCCAGTCGCACCAACCACTTACTAGATCAGGCAGGATGATATCTACGTCCTGTGGCATACGTGGGATCGATCCACATCATGCTTATTCCTTCCCCGCTCTATTATGTGTATACTCCGTAGTAAGTAGATACTCCAAAAGATACGGAGTAGTTAGTTGATGCTGGAATGGTTGCCTGTCAGCCTCAGGCGACCAGTCTCGCCGCCCGGCGACGGAATCTCCACGTGATAGCACCGGTCCAACAACGCAACCTCCATCTGTCTGGCCATCGCCGCAACGACCGGAAAAGATGGTTCTGGAACTTCATATTTGGGGTCCGGCATTCTCATTGCCGTCTATTGATGCGCAATGTCTCGCCGCTATTACGTATCTATCCCTGACCGTGCCCAAGGACGCCTGGGTGCTCGTCGCAAGCAGTGATCCTTCCGTGTCGCCGACTTGTATGTTTATCTGAGTGGTTTATTCTCCGAATACTAGTTTCTGGAGGGCCCCTGCTCTACACTTGTGGGATTAATGACGCATTTGACTAATATCATCCAATCTCATAGGCGAACTACCTGCCCTCAAAAATGGCTCAACATGGGTGAGCAGGTTCCGCAATATCGTCGACTACCTCCGTCAGTATTCGAACGGCGACTGGGACCTGGATCAGGGTCTCGATGGACTCGAAAAAGCAGATAACATTGCGTATGCTTTCCCACGTCCCAGTACTTTGATATTATAGTCGATCAGGAGAAGAGATAGTTCTAACTGATCATCAACAGCTTCTCCGCCTTCCTTGAATCCCGCGCTCAATCCCTCCTCGACCTCTCCCTCTACGTCACCAGCCAAAACTACTACAACTGCACCTCTCCCTCCTACGGCGCCATCCTCCAATGGCCCAACCAATGGATCCTCCCCCCGAAACTTCACAGCGCCGCCAAAACCCGCACCGAACATCTCGGCCTCTCCTCCCTGGACATACAAGCCATCGAAGACCAACGGAAACGTGACCACTCCGCCGCTGTCGCAGCAGGCCAGATCCCCAAGAACCTCATTCCTCAGCCGCGCGACACCGTCTCATCCCTGATCGGCAAGACGGCGCAGCAGAACCAGTTCAAACTGGAGGCGTTGACCGCGGAACTGTTCGAGCCGCTCGAGGAAATCCTCAACGGGAAGGGATACTTTCTGCACACTCGCGAGGACGGACCTACAAGCCTGGACTGTCTGGCGCTGGGATACTTGAGTCTGGCGCTTGTGCCGGAGCTGCCTAACCCCTGGCTGAAGGATGCGATGCGCAGCAAGGCACCCCAGGTGACGGCGTATACGGAGCGAATGGTGAAGGAGATCTTCGGTGTTGTCGAGCTTGAACATGCTCTTCCCTTGGATGATACTAAGAGATCACGATCATCGATCCTGCCATGGCAGGCACCGCAACGTGCCCGGTTGGCCACGATTGGAAGCACCCTTTACAATACCCTTGCGGATGCGACACCTATCTGGAAGGATATCCGCTTGAATAACCGGATGAAGGAGGCGATCGATGACAACGGGGAGCTGAGTGGGATTGAGCGTAGGACGATGTCGGCGTTTGCCGCCGCACAGTCGAAGGATGTGTGGTTGTCGGTTGGGTATGCGGTTGTGAGTGTTGCGGCGTTTGTTGGGTATCTTACGTTCCAACCGTCGATTCGGAAGGGTTGGACACGGGCTGTTCATCCTGTACACGAGGAGGGAGAGTTCGAGGTGGTAGATGACGAGGAAGGTGAAGGGGAAGGGAAAAAGGAGGAGGAATTAGATCTTGAAATGGACGCGATGAAGGTTTTGCGTGATCTTGATCTATAGTGTATATTAGATAGATTGTTTATTAAGTATTTCCCTCCAGTGTGGTGTAAGAGTAGCCAACCAGTTTCTTTTGAATCTTCAGATGTCAAACATTCCCAGCGGAGCGTAGAGTGCGTCGTTGTAGTAATTGCTTCAATTATCTCTACTCTTACTCCTTCTCATATATGATAGTACCTACATATGACCCCCACAGATTTGGCCTTATACTCACTCGCCTTGATCAGTATCCATATGTCTGGATGAGATATAGATACTAGATGCCATGTTAAGAGAACATTTACTCTCATCCACAATCACCTGAACGCAACCCACCCCAATCCTCTCATAAAAGTATAATCTGTGTATTACCTACCTTCATTGCAAAGTCAAGAGTACTTTACTTGCTACTTACCTATTGTACTAATCCCAAGTAAAACAAACTCATAACAGGACCATATGTTTCTCTCCTAGTATACTCTCACTTCGACACCTATGACAACATACTAGGCAATATAGGATAAGTATACTACTGGGAGAATAGTTGCAGTCCTATGTATCTAGTATTGTCTCCAGATGGCGAGATGAAGCTAGGGAATACACCATGGAGAAGTATAAGCGGGAGATCATATTCTGACGCAATAAGTTGGCCTTGGAGACACAGTGATAGCTGATATAACTAGTAGGTTAAAGTAGCTTTCCAACAGCACGCGGTTTATTGTTCATTGTGTACTGTGCAATTAATTGGCTGGAAACGATTATCTTGATTCGAACTACTATACTAAGTAGTACTAATTGACTAGCTGGTTACCAAACAATAATTGGATAACTACTAAGTAGTGTGTTGTGTTGTGTTGTCTTGTGTTCCTAACCTCAGGGAGAACTACGGGATGTCTAGGAAGGCGCTCGATAGTACTAGGTACTCATTTGTCCACCTCGACATTCCCTCCACGCCTCCCAAAGAAACCAACCAACGATACAGACCTTTTTTTGCGTACTAATGAGAAGATACTAGCGTCTACTTTGCAACTGGTTGGTGGTATGATCGCAACCAAAGAGCCTATTGCAGCCCAAATGGCTAAGGTCGCTATTTGCCATGGACGTACTATCGGATATTACGCTCGAACAAGCTTATGTTGATGACAGCTGAAAGCACTATCAAGCAGAACTGTACCTCGAGATTCATCTGCACGAACCGGTTGAGCTCGGCAGAGCTGATGTGGTGCAATATCTGGTCGGTCAGCAGTAAAGTGTGCCCAAATATTGGGCCAGGAGGAAGTTATCACATGAGCCAGCCTCAGCGTCTCCATTCATCTTACCGATTCAAGGTACCTCTCCTCCTGACTGATTGAATTAGATAGGCTCTATAAACTAGGCATCGGTCTCTTATAATGCGCATTGCAAACAACTCTGAGGACCCCCGTATACTACTTCCTACTCATGGCATGTTTCGGACCCCTGCCTGTTCCTAGCGAGGTATATACGGACTGCTACGAGCCCACAATCCACGCTACTGCAGAGATTTTTTCCACCATGCTTCCTTCCGAGACAGTAAAACTATGCTCTGTTGGCTGAAAATTGGCCTCTCATGATAGCGAACGCCTTGACATAAAATGGCTCATCTTCAGGTACATCAATAGATTGATCCTGGCCAACATTGGGCAGCGCCATCATATGCAGTCTGGAAGCATTCTGGTTCCAAACAGACATAAACGAGACACGCGAAAAGTCGCCTAGAATGAGACTTGACTCATCTTACTCCCAGTCCCAGCCATCGAGAGACTTGGACGTTATAGCTGTTATATGGCCGACATCCGTGCGTTCTATCTTTTAGCACCAACGTCCACACACCTTCGGAAGGACCCTGGTATTTACCCACATCAACCAGATGCGGCATTGGGAAAGGAGCGTAAATAAAGAGAAGGGCTTTGATCTTCCTCGATCGGAGCTGGAATGGCTGATCCAGGATGATGCATTACATCCGGACAATAGAAACCGCGACCATCACCTGTAGAGCTAGGATATACGTCGAGTCAAGAGAATGGTAAATAAGAGTCCGAGGGACTGAAGTAAAGTTCGATATTATGAGGTGTATATTCAATGCAACCACCCCGCCAAACATGGCGATGATGGCTTCTGCTGGAGAGATCATGGTGACGGAGGGATGACAGGAGAGATTGGGAGTTGAATGGGGACTGACTCTTAGGATATGGGGGAACTGGGGTTCCTGTTCTCCAGCTATTTAACTAACCAGCGGTTGATCGGGCCTTTCAGCCTTACAGGGAACATATTCCGGATGCGGGGTGCACACTCGCTCGCACCACTTGTCAAAAGGGGGTAATTGCCCATGTGGAACCTGTAAAGGTGAACTTCCCCAGGTATACATGTAATTTCTACTAGCCTACTAGCTGTTGCTAAGTGCCCCGCCTTTACTGGGAGTTGGATATCTTTCGATGGTGAGACAGCTGCCTACTTCCTCACTGATAAAATATTAGTGCCAAAACATAGATCCACTAAAAGATAGAGCTACCGTACTGTCCAGAAAGGCACCGTCGCACATGGATGAAAGCGTCAGGCTGATTGGTTTCCAGCTTCGACGAAGATATCGTGCTATAGAGGTTGCACGCGCAGGTCTCTCTCAGCCTGCTTCAGGCTCACGAGCCCCGATTAGAGCTTCGGCAAATGGGTCCCAAGTGCTTTGGTGTGCAATGCGATACTACGCAGGTGAGACACTGGCAGGGTTAGAATCCCTCCGGCAATGCCTACAATTGATTAATGGCCTAAACGTGCTTGGATAACGGCTGCGTGGGTAGGTGAGGGGCACACAGCATCGCTATAGCAGTTCGATGATTGCATTTCATTGTCTCCTCACTATGAAGTATATCAACCCTTTGTATACAAGCCAGATATTTGTAAATTTTGAATCTACCATCGTCTTAAGTGGTATGGTCCAGTCACAGGTGCAGGGTAAAGGAAAGCACTTCCACAGTTCTCATATCGATAAGAGACAGGCAAGCACCATAACCATCTCCAGTCATTCCATCGACTAACCTACAGCGTCAACCCAGCTATAAATACCCCACTCCTCCTCGACCGGCACTCATCCGCCGAAATGAAACCCTCGAGATCCATCCCACTCTTCTTGATCATCTTATCTTCATTCTCATGAAGTGTCAACTCCTATCAAATCTTCGAATACTCCGAGGACCAATATAATAACCCACAGCTCGATGCGCATCAACTACTGAACGCCGGAAACAACTTCACTGATAATGTGATAAAGTTCTGCTCCCATGACCAGGAATGCTTTGCCTTTGCAGCTTACCTTTATCACCAACGTGAAATGCGCGAAGAAGGGAGTCGCTTGGATCTTTGATTCTGTCATTCGCAACTTGATCTTCAGATGGTTCAATTGCTGTGCCAAGTATATTACAAAACCCTGCTGCGATGGTAAACACATGCAGCATATCTGTATCGTCATTTTGTTCCTTGGGTTGAAATACAGGTTATATGTTATATTGACCAACTTTGCACATGTTATTCTTCAGCCATGACAAGCTGGTAGACGTGGAGTCACATGCCATCTTTCCTGTGGGAGATTGATTCGTATGAAGCTTAAATCGTAGATTCGACGCATCGGGAACAGCTTCCCAAGAGCGTACCAGTCCAAATATTCTATGCTAGGCCTAAAGGACGTACATACTATACGGACGTTAGACAAAGTAAGTAACCGGTGATCCAGAAGACCGCACGTTGAACTTGGCTTACCCGCGTTATACCTGACAAATGGGCAATAACCTCCAATATGTGGTGGGTGGGTGTTTGTCGTAGTGCAATGACCTTTTGTTTGGTAGTCAGATCTTTTCGAGGAGTGAGTTAGTTGATTATTTATTTAGCTAGAGTGAGCGAACTAGCTTATAGCTTCCCCAGCTCTTATCGTATAATGTCCGGGGGTCTTTCACATTCCTCATTGTGAAGTGTTACAATGCAGATTTAGCCCGGTTTAATCCTATACATGACAAGGAGAATGGAAATGCCTATCAACTTATGGAATGGATTTCTTAAGCCGATGAGCGGGTAGAACTACTTAATAGATTGGAAATAACTAGATGCTAGGGAGTTATATTTCATGTTTAGAGCCTAATGATATTCGTTAGCTTTGTGGTAAACTCATTTGTATTAGTTATTGTCATATTTCTATCTGATTGCAAGCCGGGTCTGAAATACTAGATAGGCATGGGGAAGGTGTACAGATAAGGGAGATGGCTATTGTTAGCAAGATGCAGCTTACCAATCAGAGTAACAGTTGAGAGAATATGCAGAACTTAGGATACTTTACAAGTTAAGATATAGAGTATAAATACTAATCATATGGTCACTTATGTAAAAACACGATTAAAGGATTGAAACTTAGAGTATAAAGTTACTCATAACTCAATAATCACGGTGGTATATGGATGTATGTACAATCGAACGTATCATGCAAGCAGATCCTGGCAGCACGGCAAGGGTCGGACGTGCAATGTAACCCTCACTTCCAGCTGCGAGGGTCAGACCCCGAAGGACCCGGTGCAGGCCTGCACACACACAAAAACACCCTAACCCCAAGCCAAGTTTACCGAAGGGAATATTTGAAAAGAAATAAAGAAATCTGAACAAATCAATGACAAGTCACATCTACTCGAAGTCAATGGTGACCTGGAGACGGACGGGGCCGGAGGACAGGGAACCACCGATGCCATCGGCAGCAGCAAGGGCAGCCGTGTAGGCGTTGATGACGCTGCTGGCCGACTTGGAGATACTGGAGCATCCACTGCCCTGGTGGTCGCAGATCTTCATACCCTGCACCTCCTGCTTGGCGTTCTGGGCCTGGATGGCAGACACGTCCCAGCCGGACCAGCCTTCGTTGCTAGTGTTACCGAAGTCGAATTCACCCCAGGTGCAGGAGTAACCGCCATACTCGTCGGTGGGGAGCTTGTCACCCTTGGCAGCACCCCAGCCACCCTGAGAGTCATCGTCGAAGGCGATGTAGCGAGAGGTACCGGGCTTGATGGTCAGGGTCAGAGCAGAGTTGCCGTACCAGCCGTTCAGACCTCCATCGGGTCCGATCTTGTTCCAGAAGACGACGGTCCAGTCGTCAGTCTCACTGCCGTCAATGCGGACGACGTGCTTGTACTGGCAGGCGTTCGAGGCGTCGACTTCGATGATGTTGCTACCCCAAGGGCTGCCGACATTGCCGGTGTAGTAGATGGCGTTGGTGGTGCGCTTGCTGACTGTGGACTTGCCAAAGCCGGCACGAGAGTAATCGCCGGACGAGAGGGTGTCGGTCCAGCTCGAGCAGGATCCACTAGCAGTGGCTGCGCCGGAAGAGCTGGAAGCAGAAGGAACCGCCGTGACGGAAGCAACGACGGAGGCGGCCACGGAGACAGTAGCGGCAGCTTCGACAGACACCTGAGTAGTGGCAGCCTCAGAGACAGTGGTAGCGGCGACACCGGACCACTCGTTGATCCAGGAGACCTTTTGACCGTCGATAGTAGCGACGACGACATCGCCGACGTCACGCTTGTCGTTGTGGTGGTGACGGCGATCATGGCCGTGCAGGCGAGCAGTAGCGGAGCCAGCCGTCAGAGCGGCCAGCAGGAGCATGGAGTTCTTAAGCTGCATGATGTTGGGTTGATGAACAATGAACTGAATGGGTATCACAGGTGTTGTATTGGAACAAAGCAACCGGGTTCAGGGTACACGATTGATGAAAGAGAGTGAGTAGATTGGGAGTAATGAATGACGCGAGCAACACCAATAGGGACGCTCAGCCTTGAAACAAACACACACAAAGGAGTGAGATGTGTACCCGAGAAGGAGAGCAAAGCAGTTGCAGAGCAGAGAGGGAGAGAGAGAGGAAGAGGAAGGGAAGAGCCGGGGGGAAAGAGGAGATAATAATAAGAAAAGCCAGAGGGGGGGAGGAGATGGAAAGGTCAGGCCCAGATCGTGGAAGGGGAGTTTCCCATTCAGTTCGTTATCATCGTTCCTTTCTTTCACTCTGCATGGTTTTTTCACTTTTTCCCGCATCAAACGGTCCTCTCCGTATCAAGTTGGACCTGTAATTGGATTTCATTAAATTAAAAGGGGGTCGATCAGGGGAGTCACTTGGCTTTGGGGGCGACTGATTGGTTGAAGACGAGCATCGGTTCCTGAGCTTGCCGTTCGGATGCTGCAAAATGGCGTGTCATTGGTGGGATGGCCCCCACTTGGGGTCTAAACCCAAATCCTTCTTTCGTCTGCAAATACGGAGTACAGCATAGATACCTCGATATAGCATGGTTGGAACTCGATTTATTGACCCAGTAAACACAATAATTACCCACTTATATTCTACGTTCGGATAAGGCCCGACTGTTAGCATACCCATTTAGCAGGTAGTATAGTGAATAACATCACCAGTCAATGGTAGATAGGATATGCTTTGTAGGTCGAGACTCGCAATCCCTGGAACCGCCCCGCCGATCGCGCCTGCCGTTGTACAATACCGTACGGTACCTGGTACCTTACAGATGCACTCAGCACTTTGTGCTGCATCATGTTCAGGTACACACTCCAACAAGTCTACACCGTCTCTTGACTTACTAGTGATGCTGAGAATCCCAGCATGTCAACAATCCAGAGGAAGTGAATTCCGTGGACCTCATCGCCTAACGATCGATCAGTGGACGCCTCACGATAGGGCGGGGTTTGATTAGATGCATGGAATCCAGCTGGAATGCTGCCCGATCGCAAGAATCCGACAGAGTGAATCGCACTGCTTATTGATACGTCATTTCGAACCAATTTTTTACTGTTCAATTTAATTTCACTCATGAACAAGTCACTTCAACTTCGGTCATTGTTGCTTGGTCGAATCCCGGCCTCCCTGCCGGTTACCCAGGAACGAGCCAGCCCATCGCCACGTCAAGACCCACGTTGGACAGTGATTTGATCCGATGGACTGACAGTGGATGAATACAGGCCAGACCGTGAGATTGCACACCGTAAGACTGGAGCCTGCGTTCGGGTGGAAAGGCAAGGCAGGCAGGCAGTGACTTTTACTCTCACTGCATCCACCTTGAATCGATACGGTAATTTTGGTATAGCCTCAGGTAAAAAAGGGCTTGCAGGACCCCTAAGGGTCCTGCTGTTTTGCCCACCAAGTGAC